TTGTGCGTTGGCGTGGGTTTGCCTAAAAAGTATATAATTTGCTATTTTCCGTACGTTAATTCAAGATTTAGAAAATAAATAACTTTGCGTGTAATGCACTAATTGCTTTTGTTATGGTTAGAAACCAGCAAATGCGTAATTTACATTTTTAATGAAAGACTGGCTTCCATGGTACAAAACGAGAAATGAACACGATATGACCATGCAACGTGAATTCTGCAATAATATAAGTTGGAACAGAGACAACAGTGTACGCAAAAGTGACAACATACACACATCTAGTTTTTCAGCCTGGAGGAGATGGTAACAATGGAATATTGATTTTAACCCAAATAAGATGGAATATCAAAAGCAACGGTTTTCTTGATGTTTCTCTTGAAGTTTTTGTACACATATGAAGGTATATACATATATTATATGGAGTAAGTTATTATTCTACAATGTTAGTAAGCTAATTTTAGATTTATTATTATTATTAAAGTTATATGAAGAAATAATATATATTTTTCAAAATTAGGTAGATATATGTAGAATAAATACAAATTAGTACATACGTGTAATTTTTAAAAAAGCTTTATATGTAATAAAATGTTAAATGTATTTGATTTAAAAAGTGTTGCTTCCAAGCTAAGTATAGTTAATAGTCTTTGGTAAATAATTTTAGTTAATTGTTTTTTCTATAATCAATATTTTGGTTGTTAAAAAATCTAGTATAATAACAATTTTAAATATTAATTTATATTGAGGTATAAATGTGTTTTAGGAGGAATATTTTATGAAATATCTCAGGTATATTTTTAATAATTCATACTTTAATAATTTTCACATATAAGATTATGTTTTGGTATACATAACTTGTACCAAAACATAATGGTAACCCTTTACAATTATAGTTGGTAACCCTATTGTGATAAAAGTGTTTAAAAAAGTGATCTCCTTAAAAATTTCTGAAATATAGTAAATATTTTATACAAAATTTTTTTATATAAATATAAAGTGTCAGTGAACTATTGTTAATATAAAGGAAGGTGAAAGTCTATTTAATATTTGTTAATAAACTCAAATTACTTTGATTTTTAAAATGTGGTCACTGGAGCACCTAATTAAAAAAGGCGCCCGTTTAGCCGACGACGGCAGTTCTTTCAACTACTTCTAAGGGATACCTGCAAACTTTGTGGAAGTTTGTCACAAAGTTGATTTAAAAAATCAACTTCAGACCTTTCTGCTACACTACTTAATGCCCTACATTCAGAAAATTTTTTTTGCTAATCTTTCATTAACTAAACGAATTTACTCATCTTTTAATTGGATTATAATATCTTTTTCGTCAACAACTTTTTCTACAGTTTTTAATTCTTTAACTACAGCTGTAAAATCTTCTCTTAATTATATTTTTCTTGGGGTTCTTTCAGAAACAGATATATCATTACTATTCAATAATGGCCTAACTAATGTAGAAAGTTTGGGACTTATAGAATTAATAACTATACCACCTTCATTGTCTTATTGCCATAAAAACAAACAAATCACATTAAACATAAAACATATATTTTAAATCCCCAATTATTGATTTTGTACCTTCATTCGTCATTTTTAGGAAATTCATACATTCCCTTAAATATCTTACATCCTATTACGGAATTCCGCACCATCTTCAAATATTATTATCTAAAATAATAATTGTAATTAATAAAAGTAATTATTTTTTTAAAGGAACTTATTCACTACCTTCTATAACTTCTAATATAATATATATAGACTGACATTTGGATGAGGTAATTTTGTAGGTTTATGATTGTTGATCATCTATTTTTGATATAGTTAAGATTTTGCCTTTAGCTTTTCTTCGATGATGCATAGGTAATGTAGGTTTAAATCGATTGATATATGTATCCAAACTATGGGCTATGAAATAAGGTGTTAAGTTGTAATTTTGTGTTGAATCCATCTCCATACCCATTGATATGTATATTGTTTTATACCGTTTTAATTGTTGTGGTAGTGTTAATTTTGTTGTATAAAGTAATTCCATTGGACGAGTTGATATTGTATGTTGATAGGTTTTTGAATGATTATATAGAGGTGATGATAGATCTTTTAATATATCCTTTTATTATTTCGCTAGATATACCTTTGCCTGTACATAAAAATCCCATACCACAATCTTTACATGTTGTTAATAATATTTTGTGTTTGAGTGTCAGATTTCTATTTGAATGTATAGAACGTAATGACATGTAATAATGAAAATAGGGTTTTAGAATGAGAAAAAGTTGGATTTCCTACATTTAAAGGTTTTAATGATTGGCGTAAGAATGAGGATATTTCCTCACAGCTATATACTATGCTTTTGTTATACTGCTTGGCCATGGGTATGGGTATAGATAGATGTGGATACAGTGTTATATTTTGTATTTCATATGGTTAAATATATAGCATGTTTATGCGAATGGGATCTGGATGTTGGATGTATGGTGAGGATATACAAGGATATCCTAGTATTAAAGCTTTCAATTCATGCATTATTAGCATTAGTGGATAACCATTTAGCAATAATTGATTTATGCAATCAGATAAGTCATTTAATAGATATTCTATACTTGTTCTATATATTATTCGCCGTAAGTAATATAATATTGTTGCTTTCTTTATATGGTAAGAAATATGCGACGAATAATGGGATGTCCTTAGTGATTGTTGTGGTTTTTTGTATAGGTATGATATGCATGGATAGTTATGGTATGATGGATTGGGTGTTTCGTAGGTTAAATTGTATCCTACGAAATTTGCAAATGCTTCACAAAATGGTTCAATATTTGAATGAGGTAAATATATTAGTATATCATCTACGAATTTCCACTAAGCGTGGATACGATATGATTTAAATAGAGATTTTGAATGTATCTCTTTTTTTGATTCTATATATATAGTAGCTAATAAGCCTGAAACACTACCTACTTGAGGTAATCCATCGAGTTGTTGGTAATATTTATCATCGAATGAAAAGTAATTACCATGTTTTATGATGAAGTCTTTTGATTGTTCTAATAGGTTGAGTGGAATGGGGCATGTAAAAAAGAGTGAATTGTAAAGTATTCCTAGTTTATGATCAAACCTTAAATACTGAGCTCTTGCACCAATTCACCTCCTTTTTTTTACCCACGGTTCGAATGGGTTTGTTAAAATTGAAAAAATTAATTAAAAAATCGACAATTGATATTTCGTTAAGCACGTGAACGCACGAACCATAATTTTATTTCTTCGTATATAAAAAATAGCAACAACAATGTAAAAACAGGTTTTTAAAAACAATACAAATGTTACAAATAAATTGTTACAATTGATTATTCTATCGTGATACAGAACATTTGTTACACTTGATTGATCTCTAATTTAAAAAATAACATTAGTTAATATTAATACATATAAAAAAGAAAAATATGATGCCAAGTTGGCTTAACAGGGCATTTTTCTTTGAAACATGGTAGCTTCATTAAGTTGTGCAAAGTTTTTATTAGAGGGAATGTTGGGGTACTAGGATACATATTCTTAATGTCTAGTGATACCAAGACATAATTAGGTATTGGTCGTAAACCTAATATATGGCCTGTAAGGTAATTAATGTTGGAGATATTGTGTGATGATATACGATCAGAGAGTGTTGTGTCTAATATATAATGTACTAATTTATGTAGGGGTGATATATACCACCCTATAGGACTACATATTGGGCGTATATGGGTATTATTTTTATGGGTTTTTATTGTACCATATAGATATGGTAAAGAAGGTCTACTAATTAACATATCCTTGATTTCTTTGTATATGTTTCTTGGAAATATATCTTTGTTCTTAGTTTTTTCATAATATCGACATAGGGGCTATTGGACAATATTTGGGTCCAAAACTGAGAAGTATTGGAGCCTCTATAGGTACAGTTATGTTAGTGAGATTAGTGAAACCACGAGGTATGGCACGAGGATATAGATTTATAAGTTGGGACACATCTGGTAGCGTAGTAAATAATTTGGGAGTTAAAGATAGCACAGATGAAGCCATAAATGGTTGGAGAGAAGGCCTTGGGAAAAGAGATGCTAGGGATGGTGGATGATAATTAGGTATAGTTATACTATTAGGTGGTATAGGACGTTTTGACAATCTTTTTAGATTTGGTTTTGATGATACGGTAACAGGTGCACAAATAGCAGTAGATATAGTACTAGAGCTATTTACATTATAATTTTGTAGATCTAGAGAAGGAATATTTTGATGTACGGAGGTGGTAGTTGTGTGTATAACTATTTCTCGTGATCGGAATGATGTGGAAGGTAAGGTTGTAGAATAAACATCTGTTGTTGTGGTGGTAGTTATTGAAGCTAGAGAAATATGATATAGTGGTGGTCAAAATAAGATTAGTTCTTAATGGAGTCATAGATTTCCGTTATATTGAATGTCGTATTAGAATTTTTCATGTATAGTCTCTATTTTTGTTTTATAAATTTATTTGCTTTATTGTGACTGTAATCTCTAATAATTTCTAATATCTTAATAATAATATTGATAATATGTAATAATTAGTAATGTTTTTGGAATATTCTTGGATATTTTGATTTTAATTATAACAATATAATAATTTTTCAATAACTTAATATGGATTAATGATGGTATTTTTAATAATGTATAACATTTTTAATAATTTTTGATATTTCATATTTTTGATAATAGTTTTAATTTTGGTTTAATAATTATGTAATTATAATTGGTTGAGATGATAGTGATAGAGACTTGTACATGATTTTTATAAAATATAAAAAAAGATAAGAAATAGTGTATATAATTACTT